ACAGCGGCATCTTGGAGGTGGTTAAAATTGGCATACTGGTGTCTAACGCGCATGTTTCGCGAGGTGGAGGAGTCAAGTTTAAGTAAAGACCAAAGGCGCCGCGTGCTCACGTAGCGCTGAAGCACCAGAGACCGCGGCCCAAAGTGCGAATAAATGTCAGTGAAAAGCGCACAGCGTTACCGGCTGTTCTTGAAAACTTGGTCTGTGGTCCTCAGCTCCCAAGGGTGGGAAAACGGCAAAGCCCACTCAGCACTGCGAGCCGTCTCCTGGAACCAGGGGATCCTGCCTGCTCCAGTGTCTCTGCGGGTTTTATGGGCATATGTGTCACACCCTGTTCTGCTACTAAACATAAAATTAGGCACATATCACGTCTCTCCCAGAATGCCAGACCTGTTTCCTTCTTATAAGTTCTGGTTCGCCTGCGTTTTCCTTACCCTAGAAAGATGCAACCTCCAGAGGTTCCTATTATGGATTTCTAGTTTTGTGATTTTTTCCCCTTTCTGCTACTTTGAAAAAGGAAAAAAAAGAGTTTAGTGAGGTTTGTCCGCTTCTGCAGACAGACACGCACACAGACGCACACACAGACACACAAACACACACCGACATGCAGACACACATGCACACACAGACACGCAGACACACATACACAGACATGCACACACACCTGCACACACCCAGACATGCACACACCCAGACACACATGCACACAAAGACACACACAGAAATGCACACACATGCACACAGGCACAGACACGCGCACACACAGACACATGCACACAGACACGTGCACACAGACATGTGCACACAGACACGCACACAGATGCACACAGACACACATGCATACACACAGACGCACACACACACATGCACACGCACACACTGACATGAATTCTCTACCTGGGAGCTAGGAGCTCTCTGCAAATACAGAGTAAAGAAGACCTGCATGCCACAGAAAATAGAACCCTGAGCTGATGTGTGCCGGCCCTGTCCTGGGCTTGGTTGGAGGATGCCAGCCTTGCTACAGGCTACAGACAGAGTAAACCACAGGCCTGCAAGGCTTCGGAGGAGCAGGTCCCCTTAGAGCAGGGAAGTACTGGAGTGACCTCTGACCTCTGTCTACGGTCTGACTTGGTAAATCCAATAGCCTCAAAGGTGGGGCACCTCGGAGGTCTGCAGGCTCCGCTGTCGTGAGGCCTAGGGTCAGGCCTAGGGTCCTGGTGCACGGGCGGGCTTCTCGCGGCTGGAGCCCACAGCTGGTCACAGAAAGAATTCAGCATGCTGGATTGGTACTGGTAATGAATTTACTGCTAGTATATGATCCTTACCCATCAGACATATCAGTCCTTCGGTAGCTTGCTAAGTGCCTCCTGCAGTGGGCAGGGAACTAAGATGAAGGAAGGGCACAAGGTGCTTACCTCTCACTTCCAGGCCGTGTTCTCAAACAGCCCCAGCCAGGGCCCTCTGGGGTGTCGTCCAGTGTAAGGAGGTAGGTTGACGTTCAGCCGTAAGACCCAGGGCATGCAGGGAGACCCCACAGGAACAGGCCCAAGCCTGTCAAAGGAAGGGACCCACCCTGCCTGGCCACATCAGTGGCCTGGACAGTCCAGGATTGAGGTAGAAGTAATGGGAAATGGAGATGATGCCTGGGGAAGGAGTGATCTGGAGAACTAGGAGCGAGGCTTAGCTCACAGCTGGCTCTCCAGTGGCCACGGCCGCAGACCCGGTCATCCTCTGACATTCTCTCCTGTTGCATGGTATGTCCCGGCCCCAGTGGAAACACCCGCTGCTTTAGAGGCTGGCAGCTCAGACCTAACCCACTTTTTCAGATGGGTAAGTTGAGGCTGAGGGGAAGCCTGCAGCAGCTTGCAGGGCAGAGCTGGTGCTCACTGCCTCACAGGCTGACCCTCACGCCAGGAGGCCCGGCCTCTGCATCCTCCATCCTTGGCCATGGGGGATCTGAGCTCAGGCCACATGAGGCCATGTCCTCCACCCCAGTGTCCTTGGGCCTGGTGCACCATGACCTCAAGCTGAGCAGTGGCTCCAAGCCCCTCCCAGGGCACTAAGGCCTTGTTAGGAAAACGTGGCTGTTTTAGGTAACCCTGGGCATAGTTCGTTGATGAGAAAAGCGTAAATGCAGACAAGCGCTTTGATTCAGAATTTGGGTTGGACTAAACTTTGTTTCTGCACCATCGATGGAAGGAAAGGGGAGGAGGTGTTGGACGGCAGATGAATAGGGTGTGTCAGAGAACACGCGCTTCTGTTCTTCAGCTCGACACTTCAGCGATGTCTGCGGATCCACAGAAAGAAGGACTGGGGGACCCGAGGGAGCCTCGCAGCCCACACAGCTCATTTCACGCGTGAACACACTGAGGCCTCCAGGGTTTGGCCGCAGACCTAATTAGCTGATACGCCTGGCTGGGAGCCTGGGGTCCCAGTGCACAGGCTGGACTTCTCGCTGCTGGAGCTCATGGTTTGTCACAGAAGGAATCCAGCATGCTGGATTCATACTGACAATGACTTTACTTCTAATATATGATCCTTACCCATTCAGGCGCTGGAGTCCTTCAACACCCCCTGTCTAGCGTCTCCTACAGTGTGGGCAGGGAACGCGCTAAGTTGAAGGAAGGGTAGGAGGTGCTTACCGCTCAGAGAAGAAGCCAGTCATAGTATTTCTAGAGGGAGCATGCCGGTGTCACAAGAGAGGAATGAATGACCCGCTGTGAACAGTCAGCAGAAAGGGAGATAACTTGGCTGTGGGGAGCAAAGACAGTTTTGTGGAATCCGTGACCCCTGTTCGTGTTTCCCAGTGGGCAGGTCCATCTAGACTTACTCGCAAAGTCCAAGGAAGTTGAGAGGCTGAAGAAGGAGGCTGACATATCTTGTTTCTCAGAAAGAAACATTTAATAGGGACACAGCTACGTCTGTGTCTTGTGGGGCGGTGAGACAAGGTGGTGGATCCCCCGGCCATCACCTGCCAGACCCAGAACTTCTATACCACAGGGAGGGAATGTGTGGGACGACTGTAGGGAAGGGCAGGAATCTGCCTAAGGGCAGGATGTATGGTAAGTACATGCTCTTACGCAAGGAACAGTAGATAAAATAGAAGGCTAGGAAGCATTCCCAGAACTAGACTTTAGAAGAAGTCAGCATGGCAGATTAACATCCAAGATGGAGTCACTTTAGCCTCCACACTTGGCCTTGAAGGATGGTTATAATTTTGGGCAAGGAAAGAAGGGAAGATGTTTCAGGCAAAAGCGCTGCATGGAATAGTGTAGCAATCTGAAAGGCAGCCCCCCAAAGATATCTGAAAAGCAGCCCCCCAATGTTACCTTAGAGAAAGATCTTTGAAGACGTGCTGAAGATAAGGATATTGAGATGGGGAGATTATCTTGGATTATTTGAGTGGTCCCTAAATGCGAACACAAGTGTCCTTATAAGAGCAGGGCAGAGGGAGATTTACAGACAGAAGAGGAGAAGGTGGAGATTGGCGTGATGGGGCCACAAGCCAAGGAATGCTGGCAGCCTCTGGCAGCTGGAAGAGATGAATGGATTTCCCCGGAGAGTCTTCCTGGGGAGCACAGCTCTGCTAAAATGTTGATTGTGATCTAATGATGCTGACTTTGGAATTCTGGTCTCCAGACTGCGAGACAATGGATTTCCGTTGTCTTAAGTCACCAAGTTTGGGGTAATGACCGTGCCAGGAGCATGGTCAGATATTCAGTGAGGCAGTGAGATGAGTCAGAGCCAAGTAGCTTGTTTGCATTTGAAGAGTGATAGAAAGTTTCTGCATGCATCTTACCATCCTGAGTGGAGCCTGGGGCTGAGTGGGAGAACCCCAGTGCCTAGTGGATCATTTTTATTTCTCTGTATGTATTAACATTGTGCTCCTCACGTGATAGAAAGACAATGCTCGTTACACGGCATGGTGAATAATGGCAGCTGACATATCAGGGGTTGCACTGGGTTTACTGACGAGAAGTCAGAGCTGCCGTAGTTCTGGCATGCTCAGATACAATTAATGGACCTTTCATCTTCCAGCTGTAACCTCCAATTCCCTGTGTTGTAAATCCAATCAGGACTGACAGCTGCAGTGGCTCTGGAGAAGGGGACTCTGGGCGGAATTTAGGGCAACTCAGATTTAGGGGAAGAGGAGAGGAGATTGTCTGCCAAGTGAAACAGTCCTCACTGACCGCAGAGGCAAGTTCTCTGCTGGCTTAGGGACAAAGTGATTAAAGGTGTCTTTTGAGTTTTCATGGTGTTCTTATTGATCTGAGGTTGTTTATAGCCACAAAACACCTGTAAATTAGGAGAATGGAATAAAAACATCAGGATCCTTAACTCTTCTCCTCCTGTGAGGCTGAAAGAGCTTTCTGTACAGCCCCGACAGCAGCAGGGATCTGAAATGCGTCTGCAGAGGGGAACTGCGGTCTCCTTTCCTCCCGAGGGCTGCAGTTAAGAGGAGCTTTCTCCTCACAGCTGAAACAAAAGCCTCGTCTTTGCTCAGAAAGTGTCCTTGGTTAACATGATTGTCTGCTGGGACCACTGTCTAATTGTGTGCCTCCCGGAGAGTTGGAGAATGCTCAGGCCCAGCTGCCTCCTCCCGCCCTCCCTCCCTCCCTCCCTCTCCTTCCCTCCTCCCTTCTTTCTTTCTTCTTTTTCTTCCACCCCTCCTTTCTTCCACTCTCCCTTCCACCTTCCACTTTTTCTCCCTCCCTTTCCTTTTCTTTCTCTTCCTTTCTCATTTTCCCTTCTCCTCTCCTCCCTTCCGTTTCCTTTTTTCTGTTTCCCTTTTCTTTGCTTCCTTTCTTTTTCTACATTCTCCTTCTGTCCTTCCTTTTATTGATTAAAGAGCTTTAACACATCACTGTGAAGCGGTCAGGGGTTCTCAGAAGACGGATAACGGATATTACTGAGCACGGGTAAGTTCTCAGGCACGGATAACTGCAGTGCAACAAAGCCAGCCGTGTGACCACTGGCCTTTCTTTGCTTTTCCCTTGTAGAAATCCGAGAGGCCTTTCGGGTTCTGGACCGGGATGGGAACGGCTTCATCTCCAAGCAGGAGCTGGGCATGGCCATGCGCTCTTTGGGGTACATGCCAAGCGAGGTGGAGCTGGCCATCATCATGCAGCGCTTGGACATGGACGGTAAGACCCGGAGACACGCCGCCGTCTCGTCACTGAGGCCTTGGGTTTATGCAGGGCCTTGCACTTTGAGCCCGGAGACTGGATTCCGGTCTTGGCCTCCGTTTGAGAAGCAGAGACTTGGACTAGAACAGGCTGTTTCAGTCACTTTCTGGAGAGCTCTAGGAGCCTGTGGAGATGGCTTCCGGACCATTCTAGGGTGGGGTGAGGAAAGAGGCCTGGCTGCTGGGGCGCTTAGCACCTTCTCTCTTCCCCTCCCCTCCCCCTCCCCTCCCCCTCCCCTCCCTTTCTCCCTCCCTCCCTCCCTCCCTCTTGTCCTTCTCCTCCTCCTCCTTTATCCTCCTCCTCCTCCTTCCTCCTCTTCCTTCTCCTTCTTCCTCTCCTTCCTCTTCTTCCTCCTCCTTTAAATGACAGTTTTATTGATGTAGAATTCACATACTCTAAGAGCCACCATTTAAAGTCCACAATTAGGGGTGTTTAGTGGATGCACAGACGTTTTTTCTTTCCTGTTTCTTTATCGGATGCTTTGTAGACGCAGATCTAAAAGTTACCTTGCTGAGCTCCAAGCTAGAAGCAGGAAGGAATCGGGGCAGTGAGTTCACCAAAACCCCTCAAATGGGAGCCCCAGCTCTTGCCTGGAGTAGAGCCAGGGCTTGCGCTCTTGGGGTACTGCTCAGTGTTTCTGGCTGCGTCACACTCAGGAAAAGTCAACCAGCGCGGGGCTGCAGGGGACAGCCAGCCAAGCCCAGACAGACATGGCAGACGCAGCTGGAAGGAGGACGTGAAGGAGACAGGTGACTGCCCCGTGGTGGAAAGGAGCACGGCTGAGGCAGGGGGAGGGCGGGGAGACGCCGGGAGCGGTGGGCGCAGTGCGGAGTGCGGCCCCAGTGTGGCCAGAGGAGAGTCAGATCCGTGCAACACATACCGCAGTGGAGTTGAGCTGGAAGCCGTCATCCTCATCAGGCTCACACAGGACCGGAGAGCCAAGCACCACATGTTCTCACTTTTTATTTTTGCCATGTGAGATACCTGTGCACGTTCTCACTTATAAGTGGGAGCTGCATGATGAGAGCAAGTGAGCACATGGTGGGGGACAGCACATACCGGGGCCTGTTGGGGTCAGAGTGGGGTGGGAGAGCATCAGGAGGAAGAGCCAACAGGTGCTGGGCCTCTTGCCCAGGTGAGGGGTTGATGTGGCAGCAGACCACGTTTACCCACGTAACGGGCGCTGGGCCTCATGCCCAGGTGAGGGGTTGATGTGGCAGCAGACCACCGCGGCACACGTTTACCCACGTAACAAACCTGCGCATCTGCACACGGACCACGGAACTTAGAAGCTGAAGGAATAAAAAACCATCTTCATCACTCCAAAAAGGAACCCCACATCTCTTAGCCATCACCTCCCCATTACGCTGTCCCCCTAAGCCCTAGGCTCACACGTTGTACGTCCCTTTGGTGAGCCGGGGATTCTCATCCACCAGCTTGGACTTGAGGTGTTTCCTGTTGGCCAGGGAATCACCCAGTGATTCTCTGCTTCTCACACACCAGCGTTTCCTACGCAGCCTATAAAACAAATCCTAGACTTAACCCTGGGCCAGTCACCGTCCCCACTCCTGCCCGGCAGACCAACGGAAGGGGCTTCCAGGAAGAAAATGGCATTATCCCCCTGCCGCACCCCGCAAGCCACAGCCTGCACGCTGCCTCACTTCCTCCACGTTCTTTGGGAAGGTCTAACCCAAGGATACCGTAACCCGCAGGCTTTGGAGACTTCTTAGCTGGAGGTGCTGTGTGGTTCCCGTTGTCACCGCCTTTCGTCCGGACATTCCCATCGTCCAGATCTGTTCAGAGACTTCACTCTCTTTTCTCAACTTCCATCTTCTCCAAAGTTTCCGAGAGACGACCTTCAGCTTATTCTCCAGTGACTGTGGCGGCCCTCCGATGAGCCCACGCCCTTCTTAGTAGAATCCTGTCTTTGGATTGTAGAATCTAAAAACTCGAAGTCTCTTAAACCGAATCCCAGATGCCTGAGCCTCGGTGAGCTCTTTGAACAACGTCGTAAGGCCCGAAGGGACTCCAGGCTCTCATGGAATTGGGGGGTATTTGCAGTAATCTAGAAATTTCCCTATGTACTGGAGTCTGATGAGAGAATGTGAAAACAAGCAAAACCTTGGGGTTGAGGATGCTTAAATCTTTTTAAAGACTTTTTAAATTAAAATTAAAAAGCATCCTGTTTTCTACCCAGCTCTCTCCCCCAGTTGGCCCAGCAATCCTATGTTGGTTCACATCTCCAAGTAGCTACTGAAGAAGCGAAGTGTTTCGGTTAAGGCTTTCCAAGAAGCTCCATAACTACAGCCCTAACATCTGGTCCTGGCCGCCGGTGTCTACACTCTGAGCCTCCTGTCTGGATTCAGCAAGCAAGTACTACGCCCCTTCAAAGGCCACCTAGACACTCTGCTGCGCCTCCCACGTGGCCAGGGCCGCACCTGCTGAATGAGTTTGAAGTCATGCCCAGCTAGCTTCATGTCACCCTCAAATTCATTGTCAGCGCCGGCCAGGGTGTCGATAGTCTCAGTAGCCAGGTGATTGGTGGGCTCCTCCAGGAGGAGTAGGTAGAGGCTCTGCCAGGTCAGCCAGGTCAGACCAGTTCACAGATGTGCAATGCATGCCACAACCCACTTTATAACATTTTCTTTTTCTTTTTTTTTTGTTTTGAGACACAGTCTCGCTCTGTCACCCCGGCTGCAGAGCAATGGCGTGGTCTCACCTCCTGGGTTCAAATGATTCTCCTGCCTTAGCCTCCCAAGTAGCTGGGACCAGAGGCGTGCGCCACCATGCCCGGCTAATTTTTTGTATTTTTAGTAGAGACGGGGTTTCACTGTGTTAGCAAGGATGGTCTCGATCTCCTGACCTCGTGATCCACCCGCCTCGGCCTCCCACAGTGCTGGGATTACAGGCGTGAGCCACCGCGCCCGGCAGATTTTAGAACATTTTCATTGCTTCAAAAAGAAACCTCGCACCTGTTAGCCATCATCTCTGAAGCCCCGTACTTCCCCGAGTCCTACGCAAGCCCTTCTCTACTTTCCATCTCTAGAGTTGCTTCTGCTGGACATTCCCTATACCTGGAATCGTAGAATTTGCCTTCCTTTGTGACTAGCTTCTTGCACTTACTATCGTGTTTCCAAGGCTCACCGTGTTGCAGCATTTATCGTGACTTCATTTTTTTTGATGGCCATGTTCCTATTCTACTGTATGGACATCACAGCTTGTTTTCTGCCTGTTTCTATTTATTGAGTTCCTGCATACAACCTCACTGGAAAAAAAAAAACATAACCTTGTTGTGGTTTTTTTTTTTTATTTGTGACAGATTCTCACTCTGTCTGTCACCCAGGCTGGACTGCAGTGGCACGATCTTGGCTCACTGCAACCTCCATCTCCCAGACTCAAGTGATTCTCCTGCCTCAGCCTCCTGAGTAGCTGGGATTACAGACATGCACCACCATGCCTGACTAATTTTTGTATTTTTAGTAGAGACGGGGTTTCACCACGTTGGCCGGGCTGGTCTCAAACTTTTGAGCTCAAGTGACGTGCCTGCCTCGTCCTCCCAAATTTCTGGGATTACAGGCGTGAGCCACCGTGCCCGGCCCTTATAGTGTTTGGAAAGCTTTGAAAAATGACTGCATTTGATAATCTGTAAGGCTCTTCCCTACTCTAAAAATCCAAGTTTTATCCCAAACCAGCTAGATCCTGCCTGGAAGGTCCAGGAAAGAGGCTCCTTCTGTTGTTTGTTAACACGCTCTCTTCCCCTCTGAGAAGCAGCTCAATTCTAGGCGTCGGGCACCAGAGGGTTGGGCTTTTGGCATGCCCAAATTGAGCATGAAGTATAGACCAAGAAGCAGTAGCAGAGGAGATGGGCGGAAAGGCTCTTTGGGGGAACAGAGCAGGGCCGCGGTAAGGAGAAGCTTGCTCCGCCTGCAAGCTGGTTGCAAGAGCGTGGTTGATAAGGAGAAGCTTGCTCCGCCTGCAAGCTGGTTGCAAGAGCGTGGTTCCCGCCTGTCATCTTCCTGGACTTGCTGGGAGGATGATAATAAGGGTGATCATATGGTGACTGGACCGTAGGGCCACCCGCCAAGTGCAGCTGTAGACATTTATTTTCTGGTTCAGGATAGAGATGTTTTATCCAGGGTATTCAGTTGTATGAGCGGTTCCCGGCCTGTCCTCTCAGTTCTGATTGATGGTGACTCACCGTATCTTCGTGGGCCTGATTTGACCTTACTTTATATTTTAGAGGTATTTCTGAAAAGCTGGAGCAAAGCACAGCTTTTACAGCAAGATCTCACTTCCGGTGACTTCCATCATTATTTCAGATATACAACTGCAGGAAAAAGAGTTTCCTCCTTAAAATAAGAAATCTTGATCTACACCTCTGTTTCTGGAACAAAGAAGGCTTTGGGTCTTTGATTCTGCTCACACAACTCTTGTAATAAAACGTAGTCAATCACTGCTGTAATCCCAGCACTTTGGGAGGCTGCAGCGGGCTGATCATCTGAGGTCAGGAGTTCAAGACCAGCCTGACCAACATGGTGAAATCTCGTCTCTACTAAAAATACAAAAAAAAAAAAAAAAAATTAGCCGGGCATGGAAGCCCATGCCTGTATCTCAGCTACTCAGGAGGCTGAGGCACAAGAATCACTTGAACCCAGGCCGCAGAGGTTGCAGTGAGCTGAGATCGCGCCGCTGCCCTCCAGCCTGGGTGGCAAAGCAAGACTCCATCTCAAAAAAAACAAAAACAAACAAACAAAACACCTAGTCAAATGGACTAAATGTGAATGGAATTAGCAACTTCTTTATACGTATACTGGGCTCATATTTCTTGTGGAGAGTTATTCCTAGTTATGTCTAGAAGTTATTCTTATAATTGTGGGAGAGTTCTTCCTGTAAGATTTAAGGATCTTGCTGGATGCCTGGCCCACATTTGTAATCCCAGAACTTTGGGAGGCCAAGGT